CCACTGCCCTCCAGCCTGAACGACAAGAGCGAGACTCCGTCTCAGAAAAAATAAAGAAATAAAATAAAATGAACAAGATTAACACACTTTTAAGCAAGCAACAACCCAAAATATAATATGCCTAACAAAGTAATACAAGCACAAGCATACCAATTTACATTTATATCCAATGGAAATATTTGGATGTTATTAAAAATTTGCATTTAAAAGTCAATCTTATGACATCTTGGCAAAGTTTCATGACAATTGACATTACTAAAATGCCTTTTTTCTTCTGTCATCAGCAAACTGCTCTTCACCTTTTTCCTTTTTTTTTTTAACAGGGTCTCACTCTGATGCCCAGGTTGGAGTGCAGTGGTGCCATCTTGGCTCACTGCAACCTCCACCACACAGGTTCAAGCCATCCTCCCACCTCAGCCTCCCAAGTAGCTGGGATCGCAGGTGCACAGCACTCCTAGCTAATTTTTGGTATTTTGGGTACAGACCAGGCTGGTATCGAACTCCTGAGCTCAAGCGATCCACCTGCCTTAGCCTCCCAAAGTGCTGGGATTATAGGCATGATCCACAGCACCTGGCCACTTTTTTTCTTTTAATTGAGACAGGGTTTTGCTGTTACCCAGGCTGGAGTGCAATGGTGCCCTCATGGCTCACTGCAGCCTTAACCTCTCTGTCTCAAGCGATCCTCCCACCTTAGCCTCCCAAGTAGCTGGGACTACAGAAACATGCCAACACACCAAGCTAATTTTTTCTATTTTTTATAGAGACAGGGTTTTACTATGTTGACTAGGCTGGTCTCCAACTCCTGGGCTCAAGGGATCCTCCCACCTCAGCTTCCCAAGTGTTGGGATTACAGGTGTAAGCCATCATGCCCATCTTGCCCTTCACTTTTTATTCCAAATGTCAACATTTGCTGAAAGTCTACTGTGTAAGCAAGCAATTGCACTGTACGGTTCACTTCCTGAAGCCCTCCTCTGTTACTAAAATTCTACCTGAAAGGAAGTCGAGAATAGTGGTTAAAGCCTGGAGACCTGGTAATATAGTTTGGCTCTGTATCCCCATCCAAATCTTACCTTGAATTGTAATAATCCCCGCATGTTGTGGGAGGGACCCGGTGGGAGGTAATTGAATCATGGAGATGGTTTCCCCCATGCTGTTCTCATGATAGTGAATGAGTTCTCACAAGATCTGATGGTTTTATACATGTCTGGCATTTCCCCTGCTGGCACTTCGCCTTCTTGCTGCCCTGTGAAGAAGGTGCCTTTCTTCCCCTTTGCCTTCTGTCATGATTGTAAGTTTCCTGAGACCTTCCCAGCCATGCAGGACTGTGAGTCAATTAAACCTCTTTTCTTTATAAATTACCCAGTCTTGGGTATTTCTTTATAGCAGCGTGAGAATGAACTCATACACCTGGGGTCCAAAATCTGAAATTCCCAGATCAAACCTGGCTGAGCAAAAAAATCACCAGCAGAGCTTTATGGAAAATATAGATTTCTGGGTCCCACCCCTACAAACCCTGATTGAGTTTATCTAGAATATGGCCCCGCAAGAAAACAAATCCAATTTTCACAAATCTTCTGATCTAGGAGGATGAAATATATTAAGAACCACTGGGCTACCCTAAGGCATTGGTCTCTAAAGTGGGAGGGACACATCTGGGATGGGAGGACCAAGCTAATTGACAGGGGTGTGGGAAGAATGCATTGCAATAAGTACAAATACTTCCATTTGCATTTGTTTTTAGTTTAAATATTGTGAAGGAGATTCAGTTTTACTAATATTTCATATACTCACTGACTGGCCCCCCTCAACGGGACTGTATGCTAGATTATAAGCAAAGTATCCTGAGGCAAGGATTGAGGTTCCAAATGCAGGGCTGTAGGTAGCAGCCAGTCACTCATTCATTCCTTTCTCACTTCTTATAACATCATCCAATGTTAACTAAACCACCCTTTACAAAGTGGACTTGTTTTGAAAGTATTGCTGCAAAGAAACTGAAGCTAGCAGACAGTATTTAAAAGGTAAGCACGGACAGCAATGAGAAAATTAGTTGACTGACCCTGGTGGCTCACACTTATAATCCCAGTGCTTTGGGAGGTCAAGGCAGGAGGATCACTGGAGGCCAGGAGTTCAAGGCCGCAGTGAGCTATGATCATGCCACTGCACTCCGGCCTGTCTGAATTTTTTAAAAAGAAAAGAAAATGGAAGGGTTGACCTGCCTCTTACTACTATCGCAAGTTCATCATCAGTCATTTTATGAGGGAAAAGCAAAAATAATCTAATCAGATCTCAAAAAAATGAGTCAAAAGTGTTTCAGATATCAAGAAGACTGTTTGAAATAATCACCATTTAAAAGCATATTTTCTGGGCTGGGTGCATTGACTCACACCCGTAATTCTAACACTTTTGGAGGCCGAAGCAGGAGGATCACTTGAAGCCAGGAGTTTGAGACCAGTCTGGACAACACAGAGAGAACTCATGTCTACAAAAAGGAGGAAAATTCACTGGGCATGGTGGCACATGCCTATAGTCTCACCTACTCAGAAGGCTGAGTCCCAGCTACCCTTGAGCCCTGGAGTTCAAGGCTACAATGAGCTATGATCATGCCACTGCACTCCAGCGTGGGTGACAGAGCAAGATCCTATCTCAAAAAAAAATTAAAAGCATATTTTTATAGACATTTGTTAATATATAGTGTGTGTCTGGACTCGATTTTTTTTCCTAATAGCAGTATCAAATGAAAAAGCTTGGGTAACACTGAATTAAGGAAGAAAAAGTTATTGCTCATCTGTTTTGCCTCCTGCAAAGGCTGTGATCTCTGTTTCTGTTCAGCTCTTCATGGGTTCCCTGCCTCTGTGTCCTCCACAGCACAGTAGTAAACAGCAGCATCTGCCTCCCGCACCTGGAGGATGAGTAGCGATGAAGAGAATCGTTCATAGGTCATGTTGTATCGTCCCTGCTGAGAAGGCTTTGAGCCCTTAACAAGGAGTCTTGGTGCACATCCCGGGAAGTGAAGGTACCAGAAGAAGTTGTAAGCATTGGACACAGAGTGATTACAGAAGATTTCCACCGTGGCTCCCTCCGAAGATGCCACTGTGGAAGGCTGAAACACTTGGTCCTTGCTTTCTGCAACTAAGAAAACAAAGAGGGCTGTCACTTTAATGGTACTATTTGGTTTGTTGATTGCCCCTTAGATACAGTGAATATTAGATCTGACTTCTCTGTTTTTCTATTAAAAATGAGTCCAAATTTTAAAACAATGTCCTACACTTTTACAAAACCAAATAGTGAAGGAGCCTACTCACCATTCCAGAGAGAGTTGAGGAGAAGTCCCAGCCACACTGTCCCCAGAGTGCTCTGCAGAGCCATGGCCAAAATGCAGTTGGTCTCACCAGAAAGCTTATTTAAGACTATCTGTTTTGCATTTTTTTTTTCTTTGTGTCAGTGACATCATCAGCCAGAATCTACAACCTTTAGAAGGGCTGCTACAGTTGTGAGGCTGCATAGTAATGACTTCACTGTGCTTTGTCCTGAGAAATTAATCTTAAAAGGGAAGGCAACCTTTATAAGGTCACTGTGGTTGTGCAAATTTAGTATTCAAGGAGCTTCCTTTCTTCTCTAAGCGTATTAGAAGGAGTCACATAATTAATGGGGCACTGCTCCATTATACAAATTAAAGTGATATATTCACACAAAAAGTATGCTAAATCCCATCACATATGACATGATGACCTGCTAATGTGTTTAAAATAATTAGCATGAAATATTAGCAGCCGCAGTAGATAAGAAATGAATTTTTTTAAGGTACAAAAGTTACTGTGTAAATATGCTGATCAAGATTTGACTCCTTGCATTCAAGGTGATCTTTGGAACAAATATGGGAAAAAAACGTCAGCTGTACTTTTTCTGTAAACAAAAGAAGCAAAAACTGCATTTGGAGATAATCTCTTTTGGTATGGTACCTATCCTCATTTTGCAACTTGACACTGTTATTGTTATTAATATAGGGCTTACTACAAAGTTCTGTCTCTGGCTTTTATTATACTGTACAAGTTTCCTTGGGATTTTACTTGAAAAAGAAGAGGAAACACAGTTTGCAGCAATTCGGCGTTTATTATACAGTAGGGCTTTTATGTAACCTCCGCCACCTAGTGGACTACATGGGAACTCACGAAAAATAATTTCTCCATGCACCCCCTAAGACAAGTGTTCACAGCTTCTCATATCTTCAAGAGATTTCGTGTCCTTTGCTTTTGTTCAATTTCTTTATCCTTATTCAATTTCCATAGGAATATGAAGGCTATCCAAATGAAATAATTGCCTTTTGTAAAAGCCTTCTGATTACTAAAAGATGTTCTTTATTCAGGTGAGTGGCTATTAAACATATACTTTCATGGAGTAACACACTTCTCTTTGGATGGTTGCTTTATGAATCCCCTTTCCTTTCTTAAATAGTCTTCTAGGTGAGAGGAAATCTGTTTCTTTCCTAATCTTTTCTCTTTTCTTAATGAGAGAGTCCTTAATAATGATAAGATGAGCCAGGAGCAGTGGCTCAAGCCTGTAATCCCAGCACTTTGGGAGGCCAAGGTGAGTGGATCACCTGAGGTCAGGAGTTTGAGACCAGCCTGGCCAAGATGGTGAAACCCCGTCTCTACTAAAAATATATAAATTATCTGGGCATGGTGGCAGGCACCTGTGATCCCAGCTACTCGGGAAGCTGAGGCAGGAGAATCACTTGACCCCGGGAGGCAGAGGTTGTAGTGAGCTGAGATCGCACCACTTCACTCCAACCCGGGCAACAGAGCAACACTCCGTCTAAAAATAAAAAACATAATAATGATAAGATGATCATTTAGGTCCAACAGAAACCTTGTATTTATATTTATGACCTCAAAAAGCTTCCAAATAAAATACAGAATTCCAAAATGACTCTAAAATGAGGATAGAAAAAAATCAAAGGGAAGTGGGCACCAATTTATTTAATGGAAGGACTAAGATCACTACTATGATTAATTTGAGCTCTGAAATTTCTGACAACCAAAACACAGAGCGGAACACAAAAGGAATACAATTGTACAAGTAAGCTGATTAAGCCTTCAAGCAGCTTCTTACTGAAGCCAAGTAGTACAGAGCTATAGATAACTTAAAACTCTTTTTAGATACTGGTTATGTACTTTTGGTTCAAAGTAGCTACTGCACAGTATTTCAGCATGCACTACACTTACTTAGGCAATCCCCTAGTGGTGGAATTATAGGCTGCCTGTAACTCTTGCAAACACAGCAATTAACATATTTTTTTACATTTCACCTATTAACTATGTGATAATTTCTCTAGGGTATGTCCCCAGCAAAGATTGTTCAATCATAGTACATACACATGCTCGATTTCACTACGGTAATGATTGAAAGTAGCTACAGCCACTTACACTTCTACCAGCAGTGCATGAGCATTCCAGTCTTTCCATAACCTCAACAACACTTAGTATTATAAAACTGTCTACTTTTACCAATCTACTGAGTATGGAATCTCAAATTGCATTACTCTGATTATTAGTCAAATTGAGCTATTTGTATTTCCCCTTTCCCATGTTATCTATACAAAGGATTTCACACTTTAAAATTAGTCCTCTAGTGTTTCTCAGTAAATCATAAGAGTTTCTCATATATTAATTTTTGGCTGTATTCAAAATCACAAATATCTTTTTCTAATATGGTCCCAGTCTACTAAGTTTGTCTATGGTGTCCTTTTTTTAATGGAAGTCCTTAATTTTGAAGGAATCAACATTATCATTTTTTTTCACTTTATTGAGCTTTATGGATTTTGATTTAGAAATCATTCTTCACCCCAAAGCCATAAATACATTTTCCCACACTGTGTTTATTATCTTTCTAGATTTGTCTTTTACATTTAGGTTTTAATTCATCTAAAATTTACATCTGTAGAAGACCCGACTACTTTATTTTTCTCCATAGAGCAGGACAGTTTTAGTAGCACAATCTACTAAATAATCCAGCATTCCCTACAGATTTGTGGCATCATGATTATCATATTAGAGTTGCCTATGAACTTGATTCACAAAGTTACCTATTGAACTTTCTGAGTTTTATATTCATCTTGTTGTTTCTTTCTGCAATACTACTATACTATTTTTACTGTCTTAGCTTTAGCAAGATCCTCTTCTTGTCAGTCAAATATTCAGGTATAATTTAATAAAATCTACTTAGCTAATTTAAGCAGAAAAGAAAGATATTAAGATATATTAAGTAGATCACACACTATCCAGCAGAGATAGGCAGTGAGAATTCAACGCTATACAGCCAAAAACAATGTTTAAACACAGCACAGGGAAATCTCTAATCAATCAAATCTCACACTGCTCACCTTAACACTACAAATTCACTCAACCAACAACAAGAACACTCAGTACTGAATATACAAAGCCCTTCCATTGCTGCTCGGAAAGTCCGAGGCATAGTCCCTACTGTATTAGCTATTCTTTCATTGCTATAAAGAAATACCTGAGACTGGATAACTTACAAAGAAAAGAGGTTTGACCGGCTCACAGTTCTGCAGGCTTTACAGGAAGTATAGTGTTGGCTTCTGATCAGCTTCTAGGGAGGCCTCAGGAAGCTTACAGTCATGGTAGAAGGCAAAGGAGCAGCAGGCATGTAACATGGTGAAAGAAGGAGCAAATTGGGGGTGGGGGATGCCACACACTTTTAAATGACCAGACCTCACAAGAACTCATTATCACAAAGACAGCACTAAGCCATGAGGGATCTGCCCCCATGATACAAATACATCCCATCAGGCCCCACCTGCAGCACTGGGGATTAAATTTCAACATTTGAGTGGGGACAAATATCCAAACGATGTCATCTGATGTATACACTAAAGAATATATCTGCAAACATACTACTGGAGGAAAATAACGAAGAGTAGTGCTGATAGTGGCTATCCCTGTCTTGCTTCTGACCAAAAAGAGAATGCAGCTACAATGTCTGCATTATCGAAGCTTCCTTTGTAGCCTAATACATGCCAAATTTTTTAGAATGTCCATTAGTGCTGGAAAAGAGTGTGTATTTTCTGTACATCCCACAAAGTTCCTTTTGAACATATTTCAATCCACTTCTATCTCCAAAATTCTGTCTCCACAGGGGGCTCAAAATCAGTATGAGGAGACAAGTGGAGAACAGATGGTATGCCTTCCTGCTCCAATATTTTCTCATCTCTTCACCTTAACCTTTTTACTTATCTAAATTTTCTCTCCTCTCTCCAAGTTACAAAAATAATAGGTCTCATCTATGAAAAGAGAAAAATTAATTCAGGTGGAGAGAGACAAAGAAAGAAATAAGAAGGATGGAGATCTTGGTAGTTTCACAAGCAGCAGCCACCCAAAATGTCATTGTGTAGCTTGAAAAGACATTTTGAAATGATCTATATCCAACGTACCTGGGACTTAAATACAATATTTATAACAAGATATAATTCTAATTCATTTGAATTCCTCCAAAATTCTAAGAGAACTTCACTGGTTTAGGACAGTGATTAGAGAAGAAAATAACACCAAGTAGGATTCAAAGAAGAAAGAATAGGCTTAATATTACATGGAGAGGTATCTGGGGATAGTGTGGGAGATAAATAAAGTAAAAAGTGGTAAAACCCCCAAGATGGCAAAACGTAACATACAACAAAAATGGGACTTTATCTGTCAGTTATTCAAATAGACTCCAATAAAGTCTATTGAAAAATAATTACTTGCTGTAATTGGATTTTGTGGGAAATGATGAAGAGACTGTGCTCTGTGAAGAAAACTGATTGAGGTCTGACAGAATAGCATGAGTGAGGTCAGTGAGAATAGCAGCATAATGATAAAAAACCAAAGGCAATGACAACACCAAAAAAATTGTCAAAATAACTTATTCTGGCCAACCACAGTGACTCATGCCTATAAACCCTGCATTTTGGGAGGTTGAGGCAGGCAGATCACTTGAGGTGAGGAATTCAGGACCAGCCTCACAACATGGTGAAACCCTGTCTCTACTAAAAATACAAAATTTAGCTGGGCGTGGTGGCACACGCCTGTAATTTCTGCTACTCAGGAGGCTGAGGCATGAGAATCACCTGAACCCAGGAGAGAGAGTTTGCAGTGAGCCAAGATCGTGCCACTGCACTCCAGCCTGGGTGACAGAGTGAGACTCTATCTCAAAAACAAACAAATAAATAAATAAATAAATGCATAACTTTTTCTGAACTCTGGAAATTAACAAAAGATTTGCAATAATTCAAGAAGCATTTACTCAAGAAAACTGGCTGTATCTAGATAAGAACAGTGAGCAGCAACTTTGTGGTGTTTAAATTTGCCCTGTTCTCTTCTTCCTCTCCCCAGCTCTCCAATACCCTTGAAAACCAACAGCACTGCCACAATGGTGAGAAACAGCAGCCTTGAAGCTACTAGAGAGGGCAAAGCTGG